ACATACATACATACATACATACATACATACATACATACATACATACATACATACATACATACATACATACATACATACATACATACATACATACATACATACATACATACATACATACATACATACATACATACATACATACATACATACATACATACATACATACATACATACATACATACATACATACATACATACATACATACATACATACATACATACATACATACATACATACATACATACATACATACATACATACATACATACATACATACATACATACATACATACATACATACATACATACATACATACATACATACATACATACATACATACATACATACATACATACATACATACATACATACATACATACATACATACATACATACATACATACATACATACATACATACATACATACATACATACATACATACATACATACATACATACATACATACATACATACATACATACATACATACATACATACATACATACATACATACATACATACATACATACATACATACATACATACATACATACATACATACATACATACATACATACATACATACATACATACATACATACATACATACATACATACATACATACATACATACATACATACATACATACATACATACATACATACATACATACATACATACATACATACATACATACATACATACATACATACATACATACATACATACATACATACATACATACATACATACATACATACATACATACATACATACATACATACATACATACATACATACATACATACATACATACATACATACATACATACATACATACATACATACATACATACATATACACACACACACTCATACACACAGTCACACTCTCTAAAACACACACGCATACAACCCAGACACATACAGACACAGATATACATACAAACACATACATATACACACGTAGCCGCACAAAAAGACCCACACACACACACCGGCACACACAGACATAAACCCACACAGACACACACATACATGCAGTCACAGGCACACATACACAAGCACATGCACACACGCAGGCAGGGGAACACACAAACACACACATAGACATACGCAACACTTACACATACACAATGACATACACACAGACGCTTAAACCGACACAAACAGAGACGCAGATATTATTTAATAGACACACCGATAGAGACACACACAGATACACACAAAGCCACAACACAGACACTTACAGCCACAGACGTACACAGATACACACACAGCCACACACACAGACACATAATGGCAAACACACACATACATACATACAAATACACTCACAGATGCACAAACACTCACACAGACACACACTGAGAGAGAAAGAGAGAGAGAGAGAGAGAGAGAGAGAGAGAGAGAGAGAGAGAGAGAGAGAGAGAGAGAGAGAGAGAGAGAAACAATTTTGAAACTGTTCGTACCTTTGTCAATGTAGAGGTTTTTTTTAAAAGGTTAGTGGCGTATCCTTTACAGGACGTTGCAGAACCAACCCTAACAGCGCCTGGCTGTTGTATGGTTTCTCTTGGCGAATTAACGTCCAGATTAGAGTAGCAGATTAAAATCGCTGTGATTGCTCAATTTTAATTAAAAAACATTATATAACCAATCAGATTCATCTTTCTCATAAAAGAATATGTTATTCTTTAGTTTTCTTTAAATTTTGCCATACTTCAACACTGAGGGAAAGGATGACTTGAGCTGAAACATCTACAAGCAACAGTCATTCGCCGCATGTAATATTGAGTAAGAGACTTTCTGTACCGACTATTAGTTTAGCTATGCCAATTTTCATTTCAAATCACTTTATTACGCCACACTTACTTACAGGTAATGCCTTTCGTTGATAATTCTACCAAAGCTGTCCGACTGTTTTGGGTTTTCCGTGAAAAAATCCTTAATGACTTTCTTGAGACTGGTAATCAGTGAATCCTGGAAACAGGTAAACTTATTTTGAATAATACAGATACAAACAATATTGATTGACATATTTCACTGTATGTCATCAGGCTTATTACTACAAAGTTTAAACAACATATGAGACAGAAAGAAAAAAATATTTTCCACTGAAAAATACAAATGACATATTCTGTTGTAGTTACATTGCAGATTTAACCAGGGGTGTAAGATCATCACGTGGTTGGAAGGAAATTTGACAAACACTCATTTTGTATGCACAACCCAAGATTGTTTTTTTTTTTTTATTGTCACAGTTTCTGCCAGTCCGGTAATCACCTGCTCCATTTATGGAAGGTACAGTTCCTATCAATTACTTGCCCAGAGAGATAAACATATAGCAGTGTAATGGGAGATATTTTCACCCTGATTAGGAAGGTTGGGGGGAAAGCCCAAGGTTAACCAGGAAGTCAGATACTCGGATTAACCGAGGTTTTCAAGATAGGTGATGACCACGAGTTATCACGAGGAACTCGATGATAGCGACCATA